AATAGCCAACCCTCTAACTTGATCAGCAGCCAACATATTAGTATATATGCCGATGTAAGTTATCAGATTATCTCTGTTGTCAATTAATGTCTCCCAATGTCAAGTTTCCATTACTGTAAGAAATGTTGAACACTAAGGTTAATATTATATCATTGTATATAAAAGCCAACGTTTACAGGAAATGGGCTCAACAATGTTATTGTAGTTTTGTGCTTCACACATCTGTTGAGTTGATTTTGATTTTGTTGTTGTTGTTGTGCTTAACGCCATTTTTCAGCACACAATATTCATGGCAGCCAGTGTTAATGGTGGAGGAAGAAACCGGGAAATCACCGGAAAAAGCCACAGACCCACAAGAAGCTATTGGTAAGCTTTCTCACATATCCACATTCGATGAATCCTAGACTCGAACACACGCAGACAGAGGTGAAATGGCAGTTATCCGTAATGGACATCGCTTTAGACCACTTGGCCACTCTGGGCCCCGAGTTCATTTTGATGATTACAACCAGATGTAATTGTCAAGATGACGACAGGGTCAGCATAGGCTAAAAATAGATTTTGAGTATTAACACCCTTACATTTTACCTGTCATATATGTAGCATGTAGTAATATTATCATTAAATACATGTATGACAGATAAATGGTAAGCAACGATGCCCTGTGGGCATATGGCAGAACAGTGTGAAAAAGCACACTGGTATAGCACCCTCAGCAGATTTCTTTTAAGCCACCTACTCAAGTAATGCAAGCTTCCAATTCTGAAGCATTGTTTTTGTGAGCTTTACTGTTGAACATAACCTGTCTTTTTCAGCAAAAGGTGATAGTGAAAGATTATTTCCTATTGTGAAGAAAATAAGACAAACTTTAAGTGCCTGCTTAGGTGCTGAAAATTTGCAACAATATGTCACCAAGATTAACAACCAGGCAAGAAGCCTGAACTGTTTTGAAACAAATTTACCATGGCCTGATTGAAGAAGTTCAAGACTGCCACAGCACCATAACATGACAAATAGCGTGAAGTTTGTGTATATTAGTAAATTTGGCCGAAAATATAGTAGTACATGTAATCAGTGTTTTTAGTTTATTTTTTTGGAGTTAGTGTCATGATATAATTTTTCCTAATTATGTTCAAAGTTCACTAATTTTTATCCCACTTTTCACTAATTGCAAGTCTGAAGGTTTGGCTGCTCTGTCACGAATGAGGAAAAATAATTCCTAGATCATTGGCACTGACTCATCACTGGAATTCCTCTTGAGAATTCCCAATCAGAAGTGACATGTGATGGTGACTACATATAGTTAAGTCACCCACCTGTTGCTGGGATTCAATTGGTGGCATATGGGAGCCATGGAAACAGTCTCTCCACATCAACCTTCTTCAAATCAAGGCTGTCATCAATACCTTACAATTCTTTATGGAATAACTCTCAAGGAAAGTCCAAGAATATAGAATGTTCCAAATTAATTCCAGTAGTCTTGAATGACCCAGTATAACAGTGATGCAATCCAAATTTTTTTTTTATGAATTCACAAAATTTCCAAAATAGAATGTTAATCAGTGAGCTAAGTAATAACAATGAATGATTAAATAATTAAATCTAGGATTATATCTGGACACGGCTAAAAATTCTAATAACAAATAAATTCTATAGAATGACCTAAGTAGGAATGAATTATTTTGTTCAGGATTGTTCATAACATTGGTGTCATGTTTCACAGTCTATTTATGGCTGTGAGATAAAACTTTCTCCACGCCCTAGTAAATGTTTGTAGACTACCCATATCTCATTCCCATAATGGAATGCGATTCTTGCAGAGCTCATCTCACACTGATTTTATGGTACTGTTCTACAGTGATTGTATACTTCTGAGGGACCAGTATATGGTAGAATTGGCAACACACATTGGACAGTTGACATATTGCTGTGCTACTTTCATATACTGTGACTGAAATTTCTTCAGATGTAATTATGGAAACTATGCACTCTATAAGGTTGACAGCTTTCAAAATGGCTGCTCCCATATGCTCAGAAAGGAAGTCTGAGAAAGGCCAAAGTAATATTAAAATAGGGAAAATGAATTTGCCAGAGTTGACAATATCAGATTCTGAAAGTGCCAGAAATAGTTATCGGCTAATTTTTTTCTCTCCAATTTTCCTTTCAATTCCAGGAAGTGAATTGACCAAATGGAACTAACAGTCTTCTACATACCTGAAATAAGACTAAGTTGTATCCTCTGAAATTCAAATTACACGTATTAATCACAGAGGTCTTGCTAGGATTTTAAAACTAGTTGTCCAGGACTCCTAATTTGGTAAAAATAGGAGTCCCACCAGCAAAAGTTGCAGTCCGAACTAAGCCAGAAATCAAATACTTTCTTACACTTGGCTAGGGTCGCAACCAAACTATCAGTTGTAGCAACTATAGATGGGGCCACAAGTGGCCGAGTGGTCTAAAGCGCTGTCTGCTAGGATCACTGCCATCTCACCTCTGTCTGCATGGGTTTGAGTTTAGGGTTCGACGAATGTGGATATGTGAGAAAGCTGGCCAGTAGCTTCACGTGGTTCTGTGGTTCTTTCCAGTGATTTCCCGGTTTCTGGCCGCCATGAATAGCCTATTGTGTGCTGAAAAATGGTGTTAAGCCCAACAACAACAACAACTAGAGCGCATTTATCAATCTCATTGAAATCATCATTTTTCTGTTTAATCCAAAACACTTGTCTAAATTTGCAAACAGCATTTTGTCCAGGTCTCTTGATTTCGAGTATGCAGGCAAAATTTATACGGCAACAACTCGAAATGAAATCAATAACAGTGATTGTGCTGGGCTTTGACAATGTCCCAAATTGCAATTATGTTTTACATATTGGCGACAAAAATATACCTTCTAGCCATATTTTGGGCTGATAAAAATGGTACAGTCTTGAGTTTGGAGTGGAGAAATTCAAAGGCACCATTACAGGAAGCTGCAAACTTGGATATAAAAATGCACTGGAATCAATTATTACATCAACAAATCCTTATTTTATATTGACAAACCACCCTAACAGTTAATTGTTATGTCATAATCCACTTACTCTGATATCTTGCCTTGATACTTGTATGCTGTAATATAATCAAATTAGCCATGCAACGGGCTAGCTACAATCGACTGCCTCTGAGGGTGGAAATGTGAAATGACTACATTCGACCACACAACAGCAACTTTAAAAAGAAAAACAAAAAAAATAGTTTTGCTTCAGCTTCAGTGAGAACTGATTACCCCTGAAGCACCAATATATACTAAGAAAATTTTTTAAAAAATTGTGTTAATGTTCTACAATTCATTTGATGTTGCTACAAATGGTTGTTTGTTTTGTCCATCAAAGAGAACCTTTAGCGGCGCCTTCAATAACACATGCACCTTTATCAAAGCAAGCTGGCGACCTTTGATCAAAGAAGTCAGCAAGAAACTAAAACTAAAATAAAAGCATTGCTTCAGTTTTCATAGTGATTAGAACATATTTATTTTGCCACAAATGTTTCCTCCTTGCAACAAAAATGTGTGTACGGAGGACTCCCGTGTTGGCAATTTTATGCGTCCCAAATTGAAAGTTTGCGTCCAAATACATGTAATTACACGTTCCAAGATCTCTGAGTCATAAACCAAAATAAATGGAGTTAAAACTTATTTTAACAATACATTAGATATAAAAAGGTCTCTTTTTAAATATCCAGGATAACCATTGAGGAAAACTTGCGAACTTCTTTGTTTTAAAGTTAAACTCTATACAAATTGCAAACTGTAAAGCAGAATCTTTAAAGAAATTTGTTATCCATTTATTCTAGCAGGATTTGCTTTCCACGGGTACTCATATAAAATGGAGGATCAAAACTTTTGTGTTACTGCAGTGACAGGATTTTTTTTCCCCTCAATTTATTAAACTTTTAACTGTTTAGTCAGTTTCTGTTGAAATTAAATTTTATGTTGGATATGGTTACTATGTTGCTATGCTTTTCCCTATTTATTTATTTATTTATTTTTTTATTTATCAAAAGTTTGGAGAATGAGATATGGGTGATGATTATGACATCACAAATGAAAACATTTTTGATTGCATCCAGTCAGCAATGGTTACATGGATACATAAGAATTCCATTTGTCCAATACAAACTAAATTGTTGTGTATGTCCTAAGCTTATAATTTCATTGTTCATCATTGATTTGTTTTTTTTTTACCCAGGTAAGCAAGCAGTGGTTGTGATGTACTGTGAAAACCAACACATGCCAGATGACCTGATTATGGAACCTGGCCTAGTCATGATTTTTGCTCATGGAGTGGAATAGTAAGACCAAAGCATTAGTGGTAAGTGTCCATTTTGTTTTGCTCACCAAACTGATATATCATGACCACTGTTATTACATCCTTACATCAGATCATTGTGGATCAGTTACTTTGATGTATTCCTGGGCAAGGCATTTTATTCCCATTGCAGTGGCACTAAATAATCTTTATGCATTGCTGAGCCATAATGAAAAATAACATGCATGTACACACTCCTTTTCAAATTGATGATTATCTTTAAATGTATTATGCTGTTTCAGGACATTGAAGAGGACTATCAGGGTCTTTGTAATGAAATTTAGTTTATTTGTTTAAGATAAACATAGATAAATACTCTCAACATGACATTTGATTGTGGAGCAAACATTTATGGGAAGCGAGAAATGGCAGTCACTTAGCATGGACAATTTATGGTCTTGATTTTTCTGTTTACATTTATTTCCTAAAGCCCTTGATAGCATCTTGTTGATTATAAAATCATTAAAAGGCTAAGATAGTCCATTGTTACATGCATGCTCACCACCTTATTTTCCCTTCCCTTAGTGTTGATGTCACATAGAAAAATTGCATTGATGTCTGGTTTTAAAAAAATTTGATTTTATATTGTAATCTAATTGATGGGTTTGTATCATACTTTGGATGATTCAATATGAAGCTAAGACAGTTAATTCTGACCGCTCCTGTGTCCTAGTGGTTAGAGCATCTGCCTTGGATGCAAGAGGTCATGGGTTCGAATCTCAGCAAAGTCATACCAAAGACTTATAAAGATGGTGCTGACGGCTGCATCACTAGGCGCTCAGCATTAGGAGGTTAGTGTTAGGACTGATCGACCTGGCATCAGGATAACATGACTGGGTGGGACATGAGGCTACATGTCTGCAGCATGATGCCCCAGTGCTGGACATCACTATAAACTGCCACATTGCAGACATCGTAGCAATATGACTGAAAATTTTTTAAAGCTGCATTAAAAATCCAAATGACACACACATAATTCTGCAACAATTGCTTCTGTCCCATTGATCTTTGGGTCAAGGTCATTGTTACAGTAAATTTGCATTAAGGATTTCCTAAACCTATTGATGGATTTTCTGTTCACTTCAATTTGTGTAAATCATTATGAAGCAAAGACAGTTCATTCTGCAACATGTTCTCTCTACCATTTGACTGGGTAGTCAAGTGGTCTAGTGTGCCCACCTATGTTCTCTCTACCATTTGACTGGGCAGTCAAGTGGTCTAGTGTGCCCACCTATGTTCTCTCTACCATTTGACTGGGTGGTCAAGTGGTTTAGTGTGCCTATCTTTACTGATCACTGCCATTTTACCTCACTCTGCGTGGCTTCAAGTCTTAGGTTCAGTCAGTGTGGGTAGCTTCCTGTGGGTCATTGATTCTTACTTGGGTTTTCCTGGACTCTTCCTTTGCCAGTTATACTAGCTTTCATATATAGCCATCATATGCTGAAAAATGGCATTCAGCCGACAACAACAAAAGCAGTAACCTTTTGATCAAGGTCACATGTTTTATAGTAGTGTTTGGATTGTGAGTTTGATATGCAGACACTGGATTTTTGCTTCAGTATTTAACCATTGGAACTACTTGACAGCATAGTTATTAATAGCCACTGAATATCCTTTTAATTGCATTTTGATTCCATTATGCCTGAACCTTAATAAACAAATGTTTATTTCCATCCAGAGCCCATTATTCTGCTTCTTATATAGCATCAATTTAGATTTTTTCTTTAAATAAATTTAAATAAAAAATATCAATAATAATAATAGTAGTACAGTATCTGTCACTATAGTTTACCCTTTCCACAATGTAAGAACCCTGGTCTGTTCTAGATGCACCATCCTCCTGTTCAAAAGAGAGTTTAGAACACCTGCTTTGACCCAGTCTGACTCTATGTTACAGGCCCATGCATGATAGTGTCACATTCTTTTCTGGACGTCATCTTGTCTACACATGGAACATTCTCACTCAAGAAAAAATGCCTTCAACAATGGTTTATTGTTGTTCAGAACCTTATATTGATATTCCTATTGATTGGCAAGAATTATCCCTCAGTGCATTAGTTAACAAAAGTTCTTTTGGTAGTCCAGAGGGATGATTTTAAGTGTTTTTGGTCGTGATGAGACCCCACCCTCCCTTCTTACTGTTTGTTGGTTTGGGAATTACCTTATAAAGGCAAAAAATTTTTTTTAGCAGGTCATCAGAATTTACTATTATCCATACATATGTTTTCACTGTACATTTAGTCAGCCATGTTTTCATTGCCGTTACAATTCTACAGTGTGATGTGTATTATAAACCCACCCTGAATCTGACGTTTCTGTGAACAAGTAGTGGCATGTATAATGACTTTCTACAGAAATTTGTCCAGATTTTCAATCACAGTTTAGCACAAGCTGCCCCCATATGAATAAATTTACCTAGGAAATAAGTCTTCAGTTACATATGATTATTGTAGATTTACCTAGAAAATTAATCATCAATTACATATGATTACATTTACCTAGGAAACTGGTAATTAATTACATATGATTACATTTACCTAGGAATTGGTACATGTAATTAATTACATATGATTACATTTACCTAGGAATTGGTACATGTAATTAATTACATATGATTACATTTACCTAGGAAACTGGTAATTAATTACATATGATTACATTTACCTAGGAAACTGGTAATTAATTACATATGATTACATTTACCTAGGAAACTGGTAACTAATTACATATGATTACATTTACCAATGAAATTTGTAATTAATTACAACAGTATATGTTTGCACCACAGATCTATATAGTTGTGAGGAAATAATGCATTACACTTAGAGTGCATGTTAATTTTACTTGTTTCTAAAACATTATACTTCTGCAGTAAATATGACATCTTATGTTTTCTTTTTTTTTTTTTCCAGATATCAAGTCAAGCCACAAGACTTCAAAAAGATGCCATACTAAATCATTCCAGAGGATATGAAAAATAAGTGACTGATTGTGTTGCCTATGAAAGCAAACAAGATATTGTTTTTCTTTGGATTTCATTATTAACACCAGACTAAGCTTTGTATAAATTCATCAATGTTTACTATTGCCATCTTGAAGCTTGTATTGGTTTGTAAACATTTAATTTTTGCCTCTAAGCTTTGCCTTTGCAGACAGGACATCATGGTTTGTGGAACAATCATTTTCTTGAACATTAAGCATTATGCCTTCATCTCAGCAGAGGATATATTTTAGTACTAATTGTGTCTATTACAGATTTATGGCTTTCTTTGCTTCATATAGGGCATAATATATTGTGCCAACCTTGCTGTTTTTCCTTCATTATTGCTCATTAGTCCAAAACACTGTTGCCATAATTATGGAGTAGTTCATAATAATTTTACTGTCATTTTATCAATTTATGTGCAGTTTGCTGTTAGTTAGCCATTTGGACAGTTTCAGAAGTAAATGATATTATTGATGTTAACATATCAGAGCATCTGGATGAACATGACATATTCTACTATAGTATTGAGCTTCTTCATAATAATTATTAGTTTTGTAAGTTTTATTTTTATCTAATGACATTGTGATATCTTGGACTGAAGAAAGAAGTTATAAGCATGCTTCACTAGTCTGGGACTCTGTAAATAAACAGCATTTGTAGTAAGGTATGAATTCATTGAAATTGACCAATAAGATAATCCTAATGAAAATTGTTCCTTTTGAAACATACAAGTGCACCCTTATAATAACAGTGTTCATGAGGGGGGTCAGAGCATACTACATTATTCATAAGACCATATCATTCCTGTGTAGCTTTTCAGACAACACTGCTTCCATAATATAACATGAGATGGGGGGGCATCAAAGTATACTACATTATACATGACAGAACCTTATTCTGAAGTACATTTTCAATTATACATTGCTTTCATAATATAACACTGTTCAGTGGGTGACCATAAAAACACTGTATGTCATACACTTGGCCATCTCATTCTGTATGTCATACACTTGGCCGTCTCATTCTGTATGTCATACACTTGGCCATCTCATTCTGTATGTCATACACTTGGCCATCTCATTCTGTAAGTCATACACTTGGCTATCTCATTCTGTATGTCATACACTTGGCCATCTCATTCTGTATGTCATACACTTGGCCATCTCATTCTGTATGTCATACACTTGGCCATCTCATTCTGTATGTCTTACACTTGGCCATTTCATTCTGAGGTAGATTTTCAAATGTACAATGCACCCTCAATGTAATGCATTTCATCGCAGCCATGAAATCATACTACAGTCATAAATGAGGCCACTTTATCTTTATATGGAGGTATGTTAACATTGTAAACAAAAAATCAAGAATTAGGAAATTTAATTATGTACTTTCATGTTATGGTTGGTTCATCCCCGCAAAGAATATAAATGCAATGAAATAAGATAAAAATTACATAGGAAAATTAAGTAAATTTATGTCTGTATGATGTATTACCATGTTATAAAATGGGATTGCATTTTATTGAGAATCTTTATGGTGAGGGAGATATGTGTTGAGTGAAGTAATGAAGGGCATTGCTGAAGAGTAGTATGGCATACAGTCAGTCTTTTATTGTTTCTGTGTTTTGTTGTCACTTAAGGCAAAAATGTAATTGTTTGTGTCAGTGGGCATATTGCAAATACTAGCAGGAATTGCACTTTTCTTTACAGTTTGTGTAAAAAAGAAAGGAGACAAATTTTGTCAGTTTGTGCAAAGATAAAATGTTAAAAGTGTTAAATATGTGTTCATTATTGAGAGTTTTGCTGTATTACCTTGAAGATCACAGTTAAACCATTGATTTATTTTTATCATACAAGTAAACAAATTTGTCACCTTTTTAAATGAAGAAACAGCAAGTTTGATTAGTCAAATATACTTGCTTGTAAAATGCTGGAGTATTTAATTTTTTTATAAAAATTTTATATTTTTATACAATCTGAAACTACTAAAATATTTATAAGTTGGTATGTATTTTTGTGAATCACTCTTAGTTAAATATCCCAAAGTAAGGGTTATTACATCGGGTGGTACCTTATCGCTAAATGTCAATCAAATAAATAATGAATGAGTATTAAAAATTCATCCGATACAAAAAAGTTAAAAATATCATATAAGTGAATGTTTTAGTCTGTCACATTTACTGAGATCAGATTGGATTTCCACAAACTGAAAGCTAGTCCAGCAAATGTTCTTTCTTGGACCGTTTTTGGGATTATCAGATTTATATAAGATTCATTATTTCATAAAAGTCAAAGTTACAACCATGACAGTCATGAAATTTTATTTAAATTCTTTCGCAGAATTCACAGTGCTACTATACACATGGATAAAAAATGATTTGAACTCCACACAAGTATTGACTTTACAAAAGCTGACTATCATAAACAGATGCCTGTAATCTAGATTTTGCTGCAGACCAGCGGAATATCCTTTTCAAAGCACATGAAATTTAATCGCAGTGAATTAACTGGTGAACCAGTGGACCTTTTCCATATTTGAAAAATATTACAAGGGTATAACCTAAATGACAGTTTTATGCTTGTTGGTGTCACTGTTCTTTTGAGCCAAAGCACTTTTCAATTTTGTGAATGCTTTATATTGGTATTCAGACTTATTATTCTTTACACAAAAAAATTACAGGTTTAAGCTAAAAGTTAAAGTTTGAAGGCCAGCATTTTTAATTGCTCAGAAATCACCTTTTCTGAA